ATTCAATTTTACAAAAATTTCAATTATTCGGAAATTCTGCAATTAAATATATATTGAAAAATAAAAACTTGAAATAATTTCAATAAAAATCCTATTAAAATTTAAAAAAGAATTAAATCTACAGAATTTTTTTGGCAAAAATATGAAAAATTAAGAATTTCAATGATTTTAGTTTGAAACTTTTTCAAAATTTAATTATTTTTGTAAAAATCCACGTTATAATGCTTTTAATATTTAATTATAATCTAAAATTTTAACTGAAATTTATTTTTAAAACCATGTTTATTAGTAAATTCTACGAGAATTCAATTATTTAAATACAAATAAAATGAAAATAAATAATTTATTAATTTCATGTTTCTTGAAATGAAATTCTCATAAAAAATGTTATCAACAAATTTTTTAAATCATTAAATTCTTTGGACGAATTTTTAAATAAAATTTATGAGAATAATTACATTTTTCGAGGAATTCGATTAAAATTGCATTAAAAATAATTGAAATTCTGCAATGAGTTTTATTATTTATGAAAATCATTGAATTCCTAAAAGAATTTTATTATTTATAAAAATAATTGAATCCCTGTAAAAATGTTATTATTTATGAAAATAATTGAATTATTGCGAAGAAATTTATAAAAAAATTTGTAAATAATTGAATTCCTGAATAAATTTTTTTATTTATGAAAATAATTGAATGTTTGCGTAGAATTTTATTCAAATTTTTTTTTAATAATGGAATTCTTTTGGAAAATTTTATTGAAATAGTAGATATTGAAAATCATTGGATTTAAGAAAACTTTTGAAAATAATTGAAATTTTGACAAGAGTTTGATTAAAATTTTGAAAAATAATTGAATATAAATTCAAACCCGTGTATTGAATAAATAAATAAATAAATAAATAAATAAATATTAGAGAAGAATTTTATTATATATAAAGAGAATTGAAATTTTGACGAGAATTTTTTTAAATTTTTGAACACAATTGAATCTAGTAACTATGTTACTAAGTTAGTTAGTAAGTTAGTAACTTACTATTCTCCCTGGAGAAGCTAAATTCGTTGAATTTTTACAAATCGTTGACTTTGTTGTTTTATTTAAAGTAAAATTCCATTCATAGTTAAAAATAACACCAAAATAGATTATTTTAATCCTTTCTGGTGTTAATTTAATCCTAGAGGGATTAAACTGTTGCATATTATTTTAATCCATTCAGGTGTTATTTTAACACCTCACGTTTTACTGTGATAGGAAGGGAATTATTATTTTTAGAGAGTAAAATTTGAACTTTGGAATTTTTGAGAATTTCTGCGACTTTTATTATTTTTAGAATAAATTTTAGCTTGTAGAAGTAGTAAAATTTGTTTTTATTTTTCGCATATAATATTTTACATATTTATTACTTTAGGTCGCTTTTTACGAATTTGGTGTCAGATTTTTAAAATTAAAAATGGCGGATTCAATATGGCGGACGTTAAAAATAGCAAATCGATCGAATTTGCTTAAAATTTGCTACTCGGGATTTTTTAGATTCGCTGATTATGAATTTAGCGTCAAATTTCCAAAATTCAATATGGCAGACTAAAAACTAAAAATCAAATTCTTAAATTTTATAATTTTTTTTAAATTATATTTTCTTTAAATAAATTGAAGTTGTTTTAGTAAAATTTTCTTTTAAAAAAAATATTCATCCATTTTGTCGCTCGTTTCATTTTTACTATCAGAATTGAGGAGTTCTTGACAAAGTTGGTCACGCGATTTAATACAATAATCTAAATCCAGTTATGAAACAGATGGACGTTAATTTTGTTAATGGACTTGACTTTTGGGTGTGAATAGTTAGTCGGCGCTTGATTCTCGAGGTTGTGGTTTACATTTCTAACCGTTAAGCTTTCTCTCTCTCTCTCTCTCTCTCTCTTTCGGCAATGGTCACGCAAATAAGGATTAATTAAACGGGTCACGGGTGCTCAAAATATCCCTTTAATTCGATTTGCAGTTTACTCCAAAGTTTCTAGTGTGTCATTTTTCTGTGTCTATTATACATGCATGTATATTCCCGCCTTCGTGGGAAAATTTTCACATTTTGTCCGAAAATTACCTGTGTACTATTGTCCTTTACAAGAATACTTATCTCCTCACTTGGCTACTAATTTTCATCATGGTAAATTTCCCCTCAAAATTAAAGACTTGAATGTTCTCTTGTCAATTATTTTCTTTTGAAGCTTTTTTTGGTGTTTTATATAAAAATTATGTTTGTGTAACAATTCGTTTAACTCTGTTTTTCATTTACTTTTTTTTACTTTAAATTTACTTTCTTAATTTTTATTTATTATGTATTTATATTTATATTTTTTTTTCGATTAAAAATTTATTTATTCAAAAATATTCATATTTAAAAATAAAAAATTTTGTAATTTGCATAATAATAATAATAATTAAAATTGATTATCACGTTCCGTAACATTTGCTGGTTAAAATAATAAAAATTATTAGTTAACTTTATTTGTTTTTGTAAATTATGTTTTTAATTAATTAATTTATTTGGATTTTTATTTATTGATTTACTTATTTACACTTTTGATATATTTAAGTTAACTATTTATTTAATATTTTCACAAATAAAAGTTATTGACTCGAATTTTCTGCACATAATTGTTATTAGATAATCATAAATAATAAAGTGAGTGATAAAATCTTTCACATTTGACATTTTATTAAACAAAATTATTTTATAGCGTGGGAATTTTATTGCAGGAAAAACTGATAAATAAAATGAATAAAACACAATAAATGCATTAAAATGAAATTTGAATATTCTTGACATTATTTAAAAATATTATTATCGTGTGGCTGTGTATTTATATACATACCTCTATACATTATAATAAATGTAATTAATTGAAATCCGACTATAGTATGTATATATGTTAATAAAAGAGTATTATAATTATAAAGGAAATTTTAAAATGAATAATAATTTTTCATTTTCTGCATAATTTAATATTATTATTATTATTTTAGATAACATTATTATTAGTACCTTTATTATTATCTTTTTTTTTAAATAAAATAATTTATAAAATATAATTCTCTTAATGAAGAATATTAACTTTATGGGATATTCGTTTGTTAAATATAAAACATTTACGCGAGTTATGTCACATATTATAATAGGCGGAAGAATTGTCATTAATTATTATATGATAAAACAATGGCAAAATCATTATATTTCAAGTGCCTTCAAAGCCACGGAGAAATCACATTATAAATTGAAATAATTTGAATTGCAATTCAAAGTTCAAGTGCAATTATTATTTTTAATTTAAATGTTTCTCTTTAAATGAAATTTAAAAGAAAAGTTTCATTAAAGTGTGCTTCTAACTTCCAAAATGAGTGAACAATATTGAAACGTTGCGAATAAAAAATGTTTTGCTTCTATTTTTTATTTTTTTTAAATTTATTTTCTTCAAATAATTTATTTTGTTCATACAAATAATTTATTTATTTCTGGAATTTCGCCTGTTTTTAAAGATTTTTAACAAAATTTTAATTTAAAATCATTATTCAATGATTTTGATAAATAATAACATTCTTTACAGGGATTCAATTATTTTCATAAATTCATAATAAACTCAAAATTCAAAAGAACTCAATTATAGTTAAAAAAAATTGTAATAAAATTGTACGCAAACATTTAATTATTTTTCATAAATAATATAAATTTCTCAGGAATTCAATTATTAGCATTAGAAATTTCTTCACAATAATTGAATTAATTTCATAAATAATAAATTTTTTTTTAAGAATTCAATTATTTTTATAAATAATAAATTTGTTTTAGGAATTCAATTATTATCATAAATATAATATAGCTCATATAATTATTTTTAGTACAATTTTAAGCGAATTCCTCAAAAAATGTAATTAATTAAAAAAATTTTATTAAAATTTGTCAAGAGAATTAAATTATTTAAAACGTTTGTTGATAAAATTCTTTATATGAAAATTCAATTTTAAGAAACATTTAATCATCCAATAAAATATTTATTTTTGTAGTTAAATAATTGAATTCTCGTAGAATTTTCTAATAAACATTGATTTAAAAATCAATTTCAGTTAAAATTTTAGATTATAATTTAATATTGAAAGCATAGCGTGGATTATTAGAAATAATTAAATTTTCAAAAGGTTTCAGATTAAAATCTCTGAAAATTTGAACTTTTCATACTTTTAATGAGGAATTCTGTAGAATTAATTTTTTTCAAAAAGTTTAATGGAATTTTTTTTAATTATTTAAAGTTTTTAATTTCTAATACATTTAATTGAGAACTGTCAGAATTATCGAAATTTCGTAAAATTAGATTTTAAGAAAAAAATTTGAAAATTCTCAAAGAACTTTTTCAAAAATTATTTTAAAAAAATTGATGAATTTTAGTTGAAAATTCTAGAAATGAATATAATCGTAATGATGAAAATAATTTTTGAAGAAGTTACAGTAAGAAAGTCTTATCGACTCGGAGTGATATCTTTCTTCATGTTTTATAATAATATTCCTTCAAGTTATTGAATTTGAAATTTTTTGAAAATTTTAATTTCTATATGAAAAAATAATAATGATTAATTATTTATTTAAAAATGAAGTTATTGATATTTTCGAATAATTTTATTATTAAAAACCTGGGAAAGACAGGGAATTTGAATATAGAGCAAAAGCGTGGTAACCCTGCAAACAAATATTTGAAACGTCTCCGTTGAATATTCCAGGAATGTGAAGGGAATATTTCGATGAAATGGAATACTTGAGGTTGTGAGAGTTTGAAAAGAAAAAAATTTTTTTTTTATTCTCCCTGAAAATTGGAATGCAACGATTATAAAGTGAAGTGGAAAAGTTTATCGCTTTTTTTTGTTTTGTTTTCTTTTGTTTTTTGCTAGTTCCTTTTTTTTCTTTGTGTAAGAAGTGTAAGTTGATTCAGGAAGTTAAATTGAGTAGATAGACTACCTGAGCTGCAACCATGCCTTCCTTTAGTCTCCGGAGATCTGTATGACTCCAAGCACTCTGGGACCAAGGGGGGATGTTTCTGAGGTCATCAAACTTGAATTCTCTCAGCTGGTTCTTTAGGAACTTTCGTATATTCCATGGTAAATCGTTGTGTCTAGAATCAGAGAAGCAAATCATCTTTTTAAATCATCTTTTTTTTTGTAAAAAAAAGAAAAAAATTAAATTATTTATTTATTTGAAAAATTTACATTTGTTTATAATTTTAATTGAACGTTCGTTAAATATTTCGATTATGGTGGTTCCCTCACTCTCGTGAATTATCTGATGTTTGTATATATTGACTTGATACAAAAATATAAAAAAAAAAATTAAACACGACGCGAAATAAAATTGCATTCTGAGTGCTTTTAAGTAAGTACATTTCAATGTTGTGTTTGTACAGTTTCTGAATGCAGAATATAAATTATAAAAAAGCTCGAGCACTTGAAAAGCAGAAACGTGTTTGGCATTTGTAATGCCTGTCAACTCTTTATGTATATTTTAGATATTTACATTTTTATATATGTAAAACAAAAGCAAAAAAAAAAAAATAATAATGAGAGATTTTTATTTTTTTATTACATTTTGGAGTTAAATTCAATCGAGTTTTGGGGGAAATTTATTAGAAAAAAAGGAAAATTTGAAAAGATTGAAATTTCTTATACTATCATCATCATCATCCTCTTTCTTGTTAAGTAAGTAACTTTTTGAGAAGATCCTGTCAGTTTAGTCGTTTTTCAAGCATCTGTGTTTGTATTGAGAAACATCTTAGAAACTCGTTTGAAAAACTTTTTTCCCCGTGTGCGAATTTTACTTGCTCGAACTTTTCAAGCGTGTGTCAATTTTAAAGTTTTTTTTTCTGCCTTTCTTCCAACCGGAAACCAGCACGAAAAGTGCCACACCCTCAGCGTTCACGCGTGCAAAAGTGTTCTCCACAAAAAAAAAGAGAAAAGGAATTTGAAGAATGATCAACATTTTTCCAAAGCTTTTCCAGAGTGCGAAAATTTTATTCGTATTAAACAAGTTTTACAACTCTTTTCAATTTTCAATTTTGTATATAGAGCAAAAAGATTCTCAAGTAGATTTTTTTATTTATTTATTTATTTTTTTTTTGAAAAGAGGAAAATAATTCTTTAATTAAATAATTAATTCTTTAATTAATATTAGAAAATGAAAACTTCAAATTATTTAAAAAAAAATTAAATTAAACTATTTCAAAAAAATTAATTCTTCAGAATTGACAGGTAAAAGTATTGATTTTTTGTAATTTTGAAAAATTGCGTTGAATTTTTGGAAAACGTCGTTCAAGTTCCGGATTAAAATTGACAGTTTGTGGGGGAGTTTAAGTCAAAACGCTTTTGATCTCACCCAAGGGAGTTCATGAGTCGTGTGTCTGATCGAAAATTGCTTCCCTTGTAGTTGACCAACTTTAACGTTACCATTCGAGAATTTAACTTTAGAATGTTAGCAAGCGTCGTTGAAGTTTAGCAAGTATGTGCATGTGCATTTTGCTTTCTACCGACTAAAGTTTGTTTTAGTCCCGACATTAGCCCAAGACTAGACGCTTGTGTTGTTACAATATACCCGCCCATTACATGACTTTACAAGTTTCTTGTATCCAAAATTTGACCCACCACCACCACGCCACACCGTCAAATACTAAACTACACGAATGAAATCAATTTTAGAAAGCTATTCCCTATATATATCCGTGTAAAGGCATACTCCACTTCTACACTATTTGCTTTGATTAAATTTCGACCTAATTAAATACAAAATTCGAGAATATTTTGGTTAATACGAATTTTCTTGGGAATTTTCTTTTGTGATTAAGGGAGAAAATTTGCGCTCGTCTTTTTGGTGGGAAAAGTAGTGAAAAAAATTTAATTTTTCGAATTCATGAGAAAATTTTAAATTTTTGTGGTTTTTTTTTGTTTGACTCGTAAACTATGAAATTACCACGAATTCTAATAAAAAGCCTTTAAAATTTCTACTTCTACCAATAATTTCTTTTTAAATAACTTAAATCTTGAACAACTATCAGAAAATAAATAAATTATTTAATGAATAATTTTACTTCAATATTTCAAAATTAATTTAATTTTAAAAGAGTTGCGTTTACAAGTTTCATAAATAAATGAACTTCAAAAGGTTTTAATTAGATATTTTATCAAATTTCAATTCTTAATAAATTTAACTCGAAATTTTATAAAATTTTAATTTTTTATGAATTTAATTGGAAATATTATAAAATTTCAATTTTTAATGAATATAATTGGAAATATTATAAAATTTCAATTTTTAATGAATTTAATTGGAAATATTATAAAATTTCAATTTTTAATGAATTTAATTGGAAATATTATAAAATTTCAATTTTTAATGAATTTAATTGGAAATATTATAATATTTAAATTTTTAATGAATTCAATTCGAAATTTTAATGCACTTAGATTTATGAAAAATTTTAATACTTCCGAATTTTCTAAAATTAGTTGAATTTCTCATTATATATTTAATTAATTATTAAAAATAATGAATTTATAAAAGAATTTTAGTTAGAAAAAACTAAAAAATCGAATTTTGAAGAAGTTACAAATAATTGCAGAAATTCAATTATTTTCAAAAGTAATAAAATTTTTATCACAAAATTCAATAATGTTGAAAATTTACAAAAAAATCTTGACAAAATCCTAATTATTATCTTTATAAATAAAAAAATTCTTCTTCGAAATTCAATTATTTTCAAAAATTGTTATACAATTCTTGTCAAAATTTCAATTATTTTCAAAAATTTTTCTTAATTCAATAATTTTCAATATTCTACTATTTTAATAATATTACGCAAAAAAATTTAATTATTAAACAAAAATTTTGATTCACGAACATTCAATTATTTTCCAAAAAATAAAAATTTTACAAGAATTTAATTATTTAAAATAAAATTTGCATAAATTTTTTTAGAAAAAATCCAATGTTTTTTAAATTTTTGCATTAATTTCTTCGCAGTAATTCAATTATTTTCATAAATTTTAAAATTCTTTTCATGAATTTAATTATTTTCATAAATAATAAAATAATTCGGAAAAAGTCAATTATTTTCATAAATAACAATATTCATTAGAAGAATTCAATTACTTTCAAAAGTAGTAAAATTCAATTATTTTCAAAAAAATTTCCTAATTGAATAATTTGTGTATCAATTATTTTAATAAAATTTCCCAAAAGAATTCAATTATTTAAATACAATTTTGACAAAGTTTTACACGAATGTTCAATTATTTTCTAAAATAATGAAAATTTCACAGGAATTCAATGATTAAAAATAGAATTTGCATACATTTTTTCGAAAAAAAACAATTGTTTGAAACTTTTTTTTTTTACAAAATTCTTCGCAATAATTCAATTATTTTCAGAAATAATAAAACTCATCGCAGAATTTTGCAGAATTTTCAAATAAAAATTGGTTTAAAAATAAATTTTATTTTAAATTTTAGATAATAGATTATGAATTCATAAATTCGTAAATTAATACGGAAAAATAATAATAATTAAATATTTAAAATATTTAAAAAAGAAATGATTGTTTTCGAATAATTTTACAATTAAAGATATTCGTAAATAAATTTAACAGAACATTTTTTTCATAATAAAATTTTTTCCTTTATTTTCTAAAAATTCAAAAATTTTCAGTTTCATTTTGAATTAAATTTTCCAATTGACAAATATCATTTATAAACATTTTTTTCCTTTATTTTTAAAAAACTTTGAATTTTATTAAAATAATTGAAATTAAGAAATAGAATTGACGCAAATTATTTCCTTATGAAAATTGAGAATTTTCTAGAAAAATATTAAGAAACGGGAATATCTAATGTTTTTCTCTTCCCAAAAGGAAAAAATGAGTTTGTAAACAATATTTTTATTGAGAAATAAAAATTATGCATAAAATGGGTATATTTCCTACTTTTTAATCAAAATTTTTTAACAATTTATTTTTTAGTATTTTTTATAAATAAAAAGGAGAATAATTTTCATAATAATGTAGATCAGTCAAACGAAATTTATTATAGAAAAATTGTAATTTTTTTTATTTTTCCTTTTTTTCTTGAATTAGTTTCATTTTTGACTACTGTCTGACTGAAAACTGATCTATACTACTGTGAAAAATTCTTGACTTTATATTCGACTCTGAAAAGTACTGGTTGATATGAAAGAAATTCATTGTTTATTGCAATCTGTTTTTAAAAAAATTTGGCTGACTAGATATTGAGTTTACTACTTGTTTGGTGTTTTTGTCTGACTATACACTGATCTTACTACTTGGTGAGAATTTTCCTATTCAAAACTGCTCCCACTTTTTAAGTTTTTACGAAGGAATTTTCTTTCTTTAGAACAATTTTTTGAGTTTTTACGTCTGACTATGCGTTGACTTTACTACTTACTAATCTTTTTTACTATAATTAAAATTTTCTATTTGTATATATATAATTTTTCTTGATTGTTTCCTAGTAGAAAAATTTTCTTTAAAAAAAATCTTTTGTCTGACACTCCGATTATATATTGACTTTACTACTATTACTTATTTAGTGTCTATAATTAAAATTGTATCTAATTAACAACTTAGTAATTTAATTAATATATTTAATTGATATACTAATGAAATTAAATTATTTCTGTCTGACTGTAAACTGATCTTTACTACTTTGAGAATATTTCGACCATATATTTGAATGGGAAATTTTTTTTTGAGTCTATAATAGTAAAAATATTTTTTTTTGTCTTTTTGTTACCTTTTTACAATGTAAATTGTGTGTCTGACTATACATGGGACTTTCTACTGGTACGAGAGTATTTTAAATTTTTAAACTGATCTTTACTACTGTGAAAAATTATGGACAATTGAAGTGAAAAAATTTCCAATTGAAGTGAAAAAATTCATCCCAAAAATGTGGATGGAATATTTAAAAAAAATATTCCCAATGTTTCAGTGGAATATTTAGAGGAATGTGAATGGAATGTTTCCAATGTTCCAATCGAATATTCGAGAAATGCGAATGGAATATTCCTATGTATATACTATTGGGAAAATAATAAAATAAAAACTAAAACGTA